TGCTTGTGAGATATGGGAACAAGCAAAGTCCACCTATTTAGAGCAGAGACATTATGCCAAGATATACCAACTTCAAGCCGAATCCTCTACTTGCAAGCAGGGGGAGAGGAGTCTCTCGATGTACTATTCTGATTTGACATCGATATGGAAAGAACTTGATCACTACCAGAATGTGAATTGGAAGTATGATGAAGATGCAAAAGCATATAAGTCACTTGTATCTCAGCAACGGGTCTTTGCCTTCCTCCTAGGGCTGAATCCTTCATACGAGTCCATCAGGGTGCAGATCTTGGGTAGTAAGGACTTGCCATCAGTTCAGGGGGTGTATGCCTTAGTGCAGTCAGAAGAGAGTAGAAAGTATGATGAATTGTGCAGAGGGGGAGTCAGTTGCCCTAGTTGTTCGGGGAAATTCAGATACAAATGTCGGAGGTGCTTTTAAGAAAGGTGACTCTCAAAATAGAACAAATGATAAGAATAAACTTTGGTGCACTCACTGCCAGAAGACAAAACACACCAGAGATACATGTTGGGATCTCCATGGAAAACCTAAATAGGCACAGAATTTGGGTAAGAAGTCAAAACCTGATCAGGGCAAGAAACCAAGTCAGCAGATGGATTGTGGTCCTACTCCCAGAGACTAGTCCATTGGTAACTCAGGAGAGGCATCCCAGTTCTGACCCTAAGGAAGAAATTATCAATTTCGTGACCATTTGGAATTGTATGGTAGGACTCTCCGCCAGATGGATTCTGGTCCTACTCCCTCTACCTCTTTCGTGTCTACATCAGGTAACGCTGCCACTGCCTTCTATGTGTCATCTTATACCACTGATTCTCCTTGGGTTATTGACTCTGGAGCCTCAAACCACATGACCGGTAAGTCAAATTTATTTCAGACATATAACCTTCTCTCTGGGAGAGATAAGGTGAGACTAGCTGATGGTTCTTTCTCTACCATAGCCGGCCAAGGTACCATACCTCTCCCACTCGGCCTTACCCTTTCTAATGTACTGCATGTTCCGAAATTACCTATAAACTTGTTGTCCATTAGTAGTATTACTCACTCCTTGAACTGTTCAGTCACTTTCTTTCCATCTTCATGTGTGTTTCAAGATTTGGCCTCGGGGAAGACGATTGGTAGAGGAAGCATGGTGGATGGTCTCTACGTGTTGGAGAATAAAGYTGGTCTTGTGGCTACAGAGTCCATGAGTTTGTCMAGTGAGAGTCAAGCCTATTTATGGCATAGTCGTCTAGGTCATCTTTCTTTTGAGTCATTAAAAGTTATGTTTCCAAAGTTGTTTGAGTCCTTGTCAGTGAATCAGTTACAGTGTCAGACATGTCAATTAAGTAAACATTGTAGAAGTTCTTTTCCTTTGAGAAATAAAAGATCTGAATTTCCATTTCATATTGTTTATTCTGATGTTTGGGGCCCTGTTACTCTACCTACTGAGGCTGGATATAAGTACTTCATTACCTTGATYGATGATTACTCTARATACACTTGGGTTTACCCTATGCGATCTAGAGATGAAGTGCCAAAAATTGTGAAAGACTTTCAACGCATGGTGTTCACTCAGTTCCAAACTGAAATCCATATCTTCCAGTCGGACAATGTGAAGGAATACTTCCATAGTGATCTCACGGAGTTTTTTGCTTCGAGTGGGTCACTTCAACGAAGCTCTTGTGCCTGGACACCTCAACAAAATGGTGTTGCTGAACGAAAGAACCGTCACCTTCTCGAAGTAGCTCATGGCTTATTAGTTCATATAAATGTGCCAAAACGTTTTTGGATAGATGCAGTTTTGTGTGCTACATACATCATCAACTGTATGCCATCTCGGTTACTAGAGTATAAGGCCCCACATCAGCTTCTGCTTCCTACAACTCCGTTGTCCACCATTCCGATGCCTGTTTTTGGGTGTCGTTGCTTTGTCCATAACTTGTCCCCTACTCGAGGTCAGCTTGATCCTCGGGCTATTCCTTGTGTTTTCCTTGGTTACCCTTTATCTCAAAAGGGGTATCGTTGCTATAATCCTACCTCTTGCAAGTACTATGTCTCCATCGATGTATCCTTCTTTGAGAATCAACATTTCTTCTCGGTTTCTCCTCAGGGGAAGAGTAGGGTTGAGGAGAAACAGGCGGCTCAAACTCAACTACCTCCTCTACCTGATCCCCCTCCATTCTGTGTCTTTCATCGCCGCCATAAAAGGCAACAGAGTTCAAGAGCCGTGGAACCTGACACTGTGCAACCAACATCATCGGATTCGCCAAAAGCAGATCCTTCTCATCAGCCAGGTACACTTGCTCCTATTGATATGCTTGTTCCTCTCAATATTGATTCCCCTATTAATGATCTTGATGTTCCTATTGCTAAGAGAAAGGGTGTTAGATCTTGTACCACTAATCATCCTATCTCTAATTTTGTCTCCTATGATCGCATTTCACCTTCATTCCGTGCATTCCTCTCTTCTGTGGACAATGTCCCCGTTCCTAAGAATGTGGCAGAAGCTTTATCCAAACCTGAATGGACAAATGCAATGCAGGAAGAAATTGATGCATTACACAAAAATGGCACTTGGGAGTTGGTGGATCTTCCTGAAGGGAAGGAGCCAGTAGGTTGCAAGTGGGTGTTCATAGTGAAACACAAGGCTGATGGAACTGTTGAAAGGTACAAGGCTAGACTGGTAGCAGGAGGTTTTACACAGGTATATGGAGTGGACTATGCAGAGACTTTTGCTTCAGTAGCCAAGATGAACTCTATCAGGATTCTTCTTTCATTGGCAGCAAATATTGACTGGGAACTTCACCAATTGGACATCAAAAATACTTTCTTAAATGGTGACTTGGAAGAGTAAGTATACATGACCCAACCTCCAGGTTTTTGTGCCAAAGGCAGTGAACAAAAAGTGTGCAGGTTAAAAAAATCTTTATATAGGTTGAAACAATCACCTTAGACTTGGTTTAGTAAGTTCCACTTAGCAGTTCAACAGATGGGGTTCGAACAATGCCAGTCAGATCACACTCTATTTGTGAAAAAAGGTGAAGGGAAAATTGCAACTCTAATTGTGTATGTGGATGACATAGTGATCACAGGAGATTGGAAGGCTGAAATACAGAGACTAAAAAAATTATTAGCCACTCAATTTGAAGTGAAAGATCTAGGCCCCTTACGTTATTTCCTTGGAATTGAAGTTGCCCGCTCTCACAAGGGCATCTTTATTTCCCAACGGAAATATGTACTAGATCTACTAGAAGATACAGGCAAGTTGGGGGTAAAACCAATTGACTCACCAATTGAATCTAATCATCTAGGGATACTCTTGTATTTGTTTATGACCAGGCCTGATATTGCTTATGCAATGGGTGTCCTTATTCAGTTCATGCACAATCCTAGGACAACTCACTTTGAAGCTGCAGAGAGGATCCTTAGATACCTCAAGAAGTTTCCCGGAGCTGGTTTGTAGTTCCAGAAACATGGACACTTAAAGGTGGAAGTATATACTGATGTTGATTGGGCAGGGGCAGGGGCAGTTGATGACCGAAAGTCTACCAGTGGGTATTGTGCCTTTGTAGGAGGAAACCCGGTCACATGGAGAAGTAAAAAACAAAGTGTAGTGGCTAGATCTAGTGTTGAAGCAGAATATAGAGCGATGTCTCATGGGGTTGCTAAAATCATGTGGATAAGAAATCTGTTAGGTAAAATGGGTTTTGCAGTGAGCAACCCTATGTCACTCTATTGTGACAATAAAGTTGCCATCAATATTGCTGCTAATCCAGTCCTGCATGATAGGACGAAACACATTGAAGTGGACAAGCATTTTATTAGAGAGAAACTTGTAAATGGAGAAGTGTGTACTCCATATGTCAGCTCAGAAGAACAACTTGTAGATATCTTCACCAGAGGTCTTCATCATGTGCGGCACAATGATTTGTGTGACAAGTTGGGCATGATTGACATCTATGCTCCAACTTGAGGGGGAGTGTTGAAATAATTTAGTTATTTGTGTTAGGATCTATTTGGCTAGTTAAAGCCTTTTTTTATTTTCTGTTATTGTACTTCACTTACAACAGGGGCACAGGTGTCTTTTCCCTTCTTATTTCTATCGCCCTATATAATATAATAGAATCTGACGCCGCCAACACTGTTCCATTGCTCCAAACCTTTTCTTCTTCCTTTCTTTCTTCTTCTCTTCTCTCTTCTTCCCTTCTCTTCTCTTCTTCCTCATTTTTCAATCGGATTTATTGCCAAAAGCAACCATGTAGCTCCAAGAGGGATTTTACCCAGTGAATGTCAATGACATAAAATTTACATTGAAAGACTTTGTTTTAGTATGTTATGTTGTTGGGGGGGAGAAAAAAGACAGAAAAGGAAATTGTTTTTTCAATATGATTGTTATAGGAAGCAAGATGCCTTTTTTTTATAAATAACAGCATAAACTTCATTCAGAACAATACCAAACTGTCAAAAATGCTGGATATAAGAATAATACAAGAGACCCAAGGCATCATAAATACTTATAATATAAATAGTAAAAAGTGACTGCAGAATGAATTTGATACTTTTTAGAAGTGCTAGAAAGTATGGATAAAAGAACATGAAGAGAAAATGATATGCAAGGACAGACTCTAAAAGCAAAAGAAAAAACAATATGCAATGAGCATCAGCTGGGCCTGGACTAGTAGTGTAGCCATTAGTTTATTAGTCTCCATTAAGAATGGATAGAAGAACATGAAGAAACTTACAGCTCTCTCTGAAGTCCTTGGAGGACCATCTAGAATCTTGATGCGAGCCCTTGTCTCCTCACATATTCTTTTAATGAACTCTCCCTTGCGTCCTATGATACCACCAACCTTCTGTGCAGGAACCAGCATTCGGAAAACATTATCCCCAGGCCATCCAGGCCACCGCTTTTCACCCCCTGCAGCTCCTATGTCATCTTCATGTCCTTGTTTCTCCTTGGGATGGGAGTTCTCAGGCATGCCAGTCATGTTATGTTCACCAAAATCTTCCCCAGGTGCAGCCATAATGTTTTGCAATTATAATGCTAAAGAACAGAAACAAATAAACAGAACTGGCCAACAAAAATATTATAAAACCTACTGCACAAGCCAGAAATGAAATTATTTCTATTATTAAGAAACCAGAATATAACATTATGAAAGCAAACCAAGTTAGAGAACATCCAACTACAAAAATAATCCCCCATTTAACGCATTAAGAGGCAAAAGTAGATAAAAAGAAATGATAAAGAGTATTTCTTTCATCATTTCCTAATATGGCCTGATGGGTCAAAATGAAGTTACCCATATGAAAAAAAGGAAAATAAATTGCTGCATTTAAAACTCCTTCCTACATTTCTGGCTGATTGGAGTTTCTTCAGAAAGCATGTGACTTTTTTTTTATATTCCTTTTTGGCCGCCCAGACAATGTTGCATGGAAACAGACACAGGAGTCAGAACCCAACGCATGTCCAAGAGTCTGACTTGGCAATATCAGAAGATATTGACTCACAGACATGCCTATGAAATACTATTAAAATAGTTCGTATTTATTGAATTCTAACATTATATACCTGCAAAAAAAAGTTGCATTTGTCATCAAGTAAAATTTGATATGAAAGTTGGCATTTATCTCATACACTGGCTGTTCATTTTATGTCAAATAAGCCATGAGATAAAAAGGAAATGCTATGTAGAAGTGTCCTCAACATTCTCTGGAGTGCCAGACAAAAAAAATGTGTCCAACATATATATGTAATTTATTTAGGAGAGCCCATGCAACACTAGGCCCATATAACCATTACATATTGCTGCAAGGAGGAAACCAGAAAAATACAAGAAAAAAGACTGCACTTTGAGGCAGGGGAAAATAACCAACCATTTGATCATGCAATGCTATCATTTTCCTTTCTGGTTAAGTTCACCTCCGCTAAGCCAACACAACAAGCTTAACTTTGTCAGCAGCAAAGGACCAAGATATATCTGGTTACCTTCATTCTTTCTCTCTTTACCAAACTCCCTTTCATAGTAAGGTAAAGTTTTCATTAAATTGGTTAAACTCTCACCCAAGCTCCGTTACAATTGGGTAGAAAAGATTAACTAAGAAAGCAAATTTTATAATATTAGGGCTCTCAAGGCACTTGGATGGATATAAAACTATTAGACAGGGAAAAGAGTATTTGCAACCCTCTTATAGGAGTTCCTCAGGACAGGTCCAGTTTTCTGTTCTTCAGGGTGTACAGGATATCCTTATAGTACTGAAACCCAAAACTCCCAATGCAAAAGGGCAAAGCTAAATAGAGATGCCTACTTCGTGCAATTATTGGGGTTCATGGGAAAAAAGAAATGATAGAACTTTCCGGGACAGGGCATGATCCTACCAGACTATGACCAAGAATACCAAGTCGAAGAGATTTTGTATGTAATAGAGCCTTTTTGGATAGCCCTGGATTCACTTTTTTATACCAGTTATTGGAGCTTTGGATATAGTGATATACATTTGTTCATTGTATATCTTGATATAACAAATTTAACAACAGTAATCATAGAGGGGGGGAGAGAGGTTTCAACTCTCCAAAGAAGGGCTATTTACATTCTTTGACCAATAAATTTCATGTTGATTACAACTAAAAGGAAGAAGATGGTCAATCTAATGTTGGCTATAGATTTCTCATTCTTTTTCAATTTGTAAGGTAACTAAATAAGAAAACTTTATTAATGAAAGCTGATAAAAAAAATTTACTAGTGAAAGAGTTTTGTGCCTAGTATCTACAAAATTTTAGCTAAGGTTATGTCTCTGAGGTTTAAAGAAGTTCTCACCTCCTTAATCAGCCAAGCCAAAGGGGCTTCTATACAAGGGAGACAAATAACAGACCAGATTTTGATTGCTAACGAGTATGTGGAGGAAATGAAAATATCGAAAAGAAAAGGCTTTGTCTGTAAGTTTGATCTTAAAAAAGCTTATGATCTGGTGGACTGGCAGTTCGTCCTACAGGTTTTGAGAAATTATGGTTTTAGGGAATAATTGGATATATGGTTGTATTAGTTCCTGTCATTACTCTATCTTGGTTACCGGAGTGGTTTACAATCGCTTTTCGGCCTTTAGGTGTGTTATGCAAGGAGGACCCTCTCTCACCCTTCCTTTTCACTTGGTTGACAAGGAGGATGTAGTAATAAGGTTTAAAATTTCTTTCTTTTCACTTATTAGTTCTCTATGATGGGGGTGATCTTGAGAAGGTGAGAAATCTAAAGGTGTTGGTCAGAAGCTTTGAAAGGATTTCTAGTTTGAGAATCAATCATGAAAAGAATTGCATAGCAAGTGTCAATTTTGGAGATTAGAGAAGTGGAGGCTATTGTGAAGTGTTTTGACTGTTCCATCTCTACTTGGCCTATGACCTATCTGGGGCTTCCATTATGGGCAAACCCTAGGGAAAGTAGTTTTTTATGCCTAGTTGTAGAGAAGTTTGAGAAGAGATTGGCCTCATGGAAAAACAATTACATTTCGTTAGGGGGTAGAATCACCTTGATAAGAGCCACACTTGCTAACCTACCAACCTACTTCTTGTCTATCTTTAGGACCCCACCTAAGGAAGCCAAGAAACTAGAGAAGTTGATGAGAGACTTTCTTTGGAAATCGAGGGAAAGTATAAAGGACCACTTAATTAGGTGGGAGGTGGTATGTTAGAGTAAAGAGGAGGGGGGATTTGGCCTAGGGAATTTAATTCAAAAGAATACAGCTTTTTTGGGAAAATGGTTGTGGTGGTGGTCCTTGGAGAGAGAAAGGTTGTGGCATGGGGTGGTAGGAAGCATTCATGGTCACTCGGAGAATGGGTGGGGTGCTGGCATATCTCGGTGGGCAACCTTGGCAAACCTTGGAAGGCAAATAAGAGTATTCTTCTACAATTTCCCAGCTTTTCAACTTCCTTAATTAAGTCTTTCTTCCTTTTATTTTCTTTTCCATGACTCTCTTCCACATAGCATCTTCCAGGCCATGTCACCTTCTTCTTCTACCTCTACCTTTCTCCCTTGCATCCAAAGCGCCACTTCGACTTCCAACACTACCCACACCTTTCGCCACCTTCCTTCTGCAAATAACTCCAAAGATCTTGAAATCTTGTCAAACTTGGCACTCACAATCTTGATTCTGGCAGCATGCAAGTCAAGAGGACTCACAGCATCAAAAATCCCACTACAGGCTATTGCAATTTGAGACATGCTCCAACCATAGACTGAAAGGCAGGCTATGGTTGATAAATACAAGGATAGATCAACCAAAAAATGTGACATTTATCTACTTGCTTATTTGACATAAATGAATAACTAATATACACAATGAATACCATTTTTCTTGAAATAACTATTGAGTAGCAAATTAATAAACAATAGGTATATAATGTAATAATTCAAAAAATATATATAGACTATTTTAATAGTTTATACTTTTCTATTGGTGTCTACACAAGCCCGTGTAAGAGTCAGATTCTCAGCACATGTTAGGTTCTGATTCCCTTGTCCATGTCCATGCCCATAACTGTGAAACACTGGGGATAAGATAAAAACACAAAATTTGAGATCTTCTCATTCCTTCACCGCTAAATCCTTCTACATAGTGTTTCTGGAAGGAAGGAATGACTCTTCTCCTTGGAAGTTGATAGGTCTCCTGACATTCCCTTTTTTCTGGTAGGAAGTCTCCTTGCATTCCAACCAAGATATGATTCTTCATGTGGACATCTTACCTGAACTATCTGTTTGCTTCTTTCTCCATTGGTGATATTTTTAGAAGGTGGAAATTAGTGACTGAATCTTCTACAGGAAAAAATAAATTCTTTTGCTGCTTGGCAACTGTAGAGAACATTGATGTGGGCCCCACAGCTGTGGTACCACTCTGTCCGTAGGGTAGAATGTATCTAGTCACAGCTGTGGTTACTTTGTTGTTCTGTTATTTCTAGTTTCAGTTTTATATTGGTTGTTATTTGTTAGCAGTTATGATGTAAACACCAAGGGCAGATATGTCCTTTCATGTAACTAGCATAACCTATATATATT